ACAAACCACTGACAGACCTGCACAAATACTCACTCTTCAGCAGCAGGCAATCAAACACTCTCACATGCTTGTAGCATATTTAAATATATTTAATTAATAACTATGTATTACTGTGTAAAGGTTAGCCTAGAAGAAATTCTATTAAAAATCTTGAGTAAATAGAAGTCTTCCTGCTGAACCACACACACTGAATAGAAAGAGAAATAATCATCTTTATGGTAAACAAATAAATATTTTTATTATTGAAAGTGCTATTTTTTGCAGCGTAGATCAGGACTGTCATTTTTATATTGAGAGTCAGACCCTGAGTCAGAAGCTGCAAAAGGCCACAGATTAAGCTGTACTGCTTCTGTATTTCCTCAGTCAGCTCTGGATTTTCTGAGTCTGACAGGCTCCTGAAAAAAGACTGAAATATGATGATTTTATCCTAATCAAAGATAACAGCCAATGGATTCACAAGTAAATCCTGGACGGTTGGGGTCAGGTGCCTGAAAAAGAGCTGGAGTCACTTACTGCTGTCACATGATTACATTCATTACGCTCACTCAGCGCTAACCCTTGCTCACAAACATGACACGAGTCAGAGCTTGTCAATCTATTTGGTTCCTAAAATCACTGTTTTGGTATCACTAACTGATGTAGCCATATGGTTTAGATGTGGACTGAAAACTAATGTTGTCATTCTTTTTGGAACACTAGAGGGCGTCCAGTGTCAAGCTCACCCTTTAGGACGGCGAGATTTTCGAGTGTCTTCCTGTTGGTTGTCATTTGGGGGCAATGAATTTGGTTTCCAGCAGCAAAGAGAAACTTCTTTGGGTGTCTTCTTATTCACTCTCAACTACTGTCCTGTACAGAGATTAGCAGTCCTGTACATCCCTGGAGCTCGAGGTCAAAGGTCAAGACTGCAAGAGAATATTATGTCCTTTATCTATAGATAGATCTGCATGTATTTATTTATTAATTATTTTAATATTTATAAATTAAATATTTACATCATGTTATTGTTGCATTTATGTCCTCAACAATTGTGCAATTTAAAATTATACTGTAAAACAAACAAAACAGGCTTTAGGTTGTGTGAAAAGTGATGATACAGTCAGATCCCTGTGCTCCTTAAAAAAGCCCCTCCAGTGGAGACCTGTAACATAATAGAAGTTAGAGATTGTCATTAAAACTGTTAGTCTGAACAACAGTTGATACTATTACTATTGGTGATATCTGAAAAAGATTATTGAGTTTATTTATTTATTTTCTCAGTAACTAAAAAATAAAAACAGTTTTTAAAAGTTAGCGACTTGACAGATGTTGATGGCCAGTCTCTGGTGGAACCACTGGTTAAAAGGCCTGAAGAATAAAACAGACTGAACTGCACAGCTCTGAGATTCTCATTCATCAGCTGGATCAGACAGGCTGTCAGAAAATGAGTAGAGGTGATTGTCTGGTTTGACAGTTACAGCTGTAGCAGCAAATATTACTCTCAGTCAGTCCAAAGCAGATTTAAATGACCGGTGTGAAATTATTTTATTTATTACAATTACTTTTGTGCTTGGGAGCCACTTGAGGATATTTTTAGTTAATACACTTGTTAGTACAAACAATGTCTGATCTGTTTAA